AAGATGAATCTGCTGAGTATCAGTTTTGCGAGAGTCGTCAGTTGAACATGTCAACCCTTCGCATGACATCGGAGGCTAAGGTAAAACTGCAATGGTCAAACCATTTGTGCGCAGTCCCACCAATCTGTGGTGGAATAAGCCTCCGATTGATATTGACTAGCTTAAAATGTTGTTTACGTCCATTAGTTTGCTTTCATTCATTTTTTTATCTTATCTACAGCTTCAGCTGAAAGATCTTCTTTGTAACGCTGGTTTTCCAGATGGTAAGTGACTGTTAATTAACCCTTTACACCCTAACTCAGTATGCATATCCTCCACGCTACCTGCGATACATTTCCTTAGGTGCTGACTAGTAGAACATTTGTGTAACAATCAAGAGCTTCGTTAGTTAGTGATTATTTCCTTTATTCTCGTGACCATAATATGTGACTCGGGGTGATATTGTAAGGAGAAATTAAATGTCAGTCACTCTTATTGGTCAAAGGGTTCGGAGATACTTGCGAATAACAATAAAGAATCACAGGTCCGTGAGCTTGAAGGCTGGTTTATTTGGTCTTATTTTTGTGGACTGAAATCATTTCATGTAGGGCGAAAACTCCAGTAGTCCAATATTTGGCGTGCTCAACTGCATTGCGAGATGCCATGGAGGCTCAAACATTAGGTAATTTGTGATTTTGTGCAAATGCGAAAGTTTACCCTGTCTGACCCAATTTCAAGACTATTCTAAAATGGCTGTAGGTGGGAGTATTACTCTGCTAGTTTTGAAGTGATGTCGTTGGCTTACCATGATCTTATCTATTACTGCTGGTTAATATGTCGGGTTCATTTAACTCGCTTTTTGATTTCTACTGTCATAATGTAGTTCAAGAAGAAGCTCGTGTTGCACTATTTGGCGGTATCTGTGCTGGTAAATACTTACATTTATCCCAATCCTTTGCAGAATGTATGCACCCACAGCCATTTAACTACAGCGGCCCCGACTCCAAGTTGGACATGGTAAGGAATTTTAGATGTCACATACTTTGCAGTCTATGGGCGTTTTGTGTTTTCCAAACTTTGTCAGATTATTCTCATGTTATCAACATCTTTTTTTATAATTTAGTCAAAGTGTCGTTTTTCTTGTAGTTTGGATTTTTCACGTCGACTATCGCGGAAAGTTAACTTGTGTGATTTTTTTCCCTGACCTTCGGACATCAATTATTTCTCGTTTAAGCTTCGGTTGTTGTGGTTGATGTAGGCTGTTGTTTATTCCGGCATTGACTTCTCCGCTCTGCTACACTAACATCTCGCATCTAGCCTAAGTTTGGTTTGACTTCACACACGTGCAGTGTACTTTTTCTCAGACAAAGACGTATAATTACTTCCAAGGCTAAAAACATCAACAAGTCTTCGAAGTCTTCAAGTCTTCATCAACAGCATTCGAAGTAAAAATTGAGTTGAGGAAGTTGTAGATAATAAATAAAGCCTTGGTAGTGTAGACTCTTGGCTCTTCTCGTGTGGCTCGCATGCCGTAGGGAACTCAAATTTTTCCCTGCAACGGCAACGGTGAATAGTTGACGAGAAGTGCAAACAAGCGGTTCGTTCGGTTTTACAAGAGTTGTTCTATTGTTGATTTTGAAGACTGAACTTGTCATAATCAGCATAACCCGGCTCTAATATCCGTGTAGTATTTTTCGAATGGAGAGTGATTAGTTATTTCCATATCTTCAGGTCGTGGCTTTGTTGTGTTTGGGTATGTATCCTAATGTCTGTGTACACCGAGGGAAACGCAAAGTACTAACGACAGAAGGTAAAGCCGCGCTCATCCACAAGTCCTCAGTGAACTGCTCCAACAGGGAACAGACTTTCCCGTCTCCGTTCTTTGTGTTTGGAGAGAAGGTAAGCTTTTAGGTGTGCTTCATGGTTTCCAAAAGTTATCGGGCGATTTCTGTAGTGTTTGATAGTCCTAAATTATATTACAGGAGTTCTTTTTCTCGCACTGTCTGTTCAAGAACCCTCGGTCCTGTTATGTCTCTGAATAAGCTTAATTTAAATAACGACATTAGTGAGGATACCTCTGAGAGGCGTTATCGACTTGGAGCGGTTCACGCGAGCGTCTTTTCCCCAGCATGCCAGAAAGGCTTCTCATAATGTTGTATTTGTGTTGTAGATTCGTACCCGCGCTGTATCGTGTAAACAGATGACCATGGTTAATCCTCTACAGCTGCTCATGTTTAGTCAGAGTAAAGTAGAATCTGAAAATGGGATCGTCAAAATGGACGACTGGTAAGGACACTTGTGCGCACGCAGACTAATTCCGCCATTAGTTTTTGTTTTAAGCGCTTAAAATTTGGAATGCTAAGTGATTTGATTTGTCTAAAAACATACATGCGATAATTCTATCATGCTCAATGGCGGCACAATCGGATGTTAATACCTTGGGAAGTTATTCCCTGATTTCAGAAATAATTGACAACTATTTACCAAAGTGAAGGTGGGTAGTTGTGGATATTTACCGAGCCGCAAAGCGACGAGGTAAAAATCCACCGCAAGCTAACGACACTGATGCAGCATATACTTAAACAATCGGGTAATATAGTACAAAAAGATGATTTTTACTTATTTACTCTTGCAACGATTACAATATTTTCGGGCGAATTCCCGCGCGAGTTTCTCGGAAGTAAGTAGCGAAGGATATTCAGTTGCCAATCAGAGCGCGTCTTCGACGCTATCCACTTTTTCAGTGTGTACTAAATCTTGTTATTGCCTGAAAGTTTATACAGACCGCTCTTACAACTCTTCATATGTTTTAAATGTTTTGATATTTTTAACGCCTTTCTTTTGAAGCTCTTTCAATATTATTCAATCTCTACTAAGTCACGTAGCACGAAACCGTTTGCTGCTTGTTAGTGTTTACGGGTACCCCACAGTTTGTCAGAATGTTATTGTTTGTTATTTTATAAGGTTACAGTTCAGGTTTGCTCACCATCAAGCCGCCATGATCGTAGCCCTGCGTCAAGCACTTGACTTCCTATTAGTTCGCGCTGCCACCAATCCAGCCACAATAGCTGAACCGAGTCATGAAGATGAGAGAATACTGCATGTCGTCAAGGCGTTATCAAGAGCTAATTCGGGAAGCTTTAATGTGAGCCGTGGTGGAGGCCAATTTCAACCGAGAGGAGGACCTCTACCGGGGTATGTAAAGTTGGGCCTCGAGTTACTAAGGATCGGGTTTGTTTAGCTTCTCTACACAACGCTCTGTGATTAAATTAAGATTTTTGCGCCACCTAGTCGACTAATTGGCGATGGTAATAAACTTGGGTGGAATGGAATCCAGAGGAGTGACCGGGCGAGTAATTTTTAATCCGCCGAGCTTGTACTGCAAAGCCGATTTGAACTTACAAGCACCGCTAGATACAGAATTATACGTCACGGAGTCCTTTTACCAATTAATTATGTTTTCAGAAGCTCCGAAATGAAATAGTTTGTGTCAGGACGTACAACTTATATTTAACCATTAAGTTAAAGCTCAACTTTCCAAAGTTTTCCAAAAGTCTAATTTATTTATTTCTAATCCAGTTAAATATATCGGCTGGTAGCATTTAGTGCTACATTCTCATGAAGTTTTGTCAGTTTGGTGCTGCACCAGCAAAATTTAACATCAAATAAAGTTCTTAATAGATCAATCGAGTTTTTTCTTTCTTCGTGAGTTATTCAACCACTGTTTTTCTTCGAAGAAGCGCCTGAGTGCTTATTTAAAACTTTGGCGAAAAGGAGGGCCGCTCATCGGAAGGAGAGAGCCTATTATTCTCTTGTACTGATTCCGCTGTAATAGTCCATTTAACAGTTGCGTGCTTGGGTCCAAAGGCTTTTAACAGGAGTGAGGCTAAAGGTGACCTTGTCGTGATACAAACGCTGGTGATCTTCAAATGCAAATTACTTGGTTATCATAGATGCTGGTCTTTATCACAACAAGGTCACCTTTAGCCCCACTCCAAATCAAAGGCTTGGCAACTAAGTACACAACTATAAAATGATGTACTAACGCTGAAAAATTATCAATTAATTGAGAATGCAGGTCTTGGTATCCCTATTATGTTTCCCTCCTATTTAAGAAAGTGAGGGAGGTGAGGGCGCTTGTTTGAGCTTACAGCCGAGGGGGTGGGCGCTTATTTGGGAAAGGGCACTTATTAGAGCGACAGGGCTTATTGGAGATCTAGTAACGTCAATGTGTTTCTCTAGGTTGATGCACCGAGGAGGACGTGGTGGACCTCCACCAAGGCGTGGCTACCAAGGCCCTCGACATTACCGCGGCAATTACCAAGGGGGTGGATTCCGCGGCGGTGGCGGTTTTCGTGGAGGATCCCGGCGTGGAGGCTTTCGCGGATTTCGCGGCGGTCAATACTAAATGTTACTTAATTTGGGCGTTAGGCCTACCATTTACAGTGGAGCAGAGGAGTCTGTTAAAATCCCAGTTATTATTTGGTTTTAATCTTACTGGAGAAAACATAGGCGGGATGAAGTAGCTGACAAAGTCGCCGAAAAATTAAGTTAGGACGTGAAAAATTTCGCTTTCACTTTACATTGTATTCAAAATGGCTACTTTCTAGAAAAGGTACCGTTTATCGTCACTTAAGTTGTACCATTTTCATCTACGTAACAGTAAATTAATGCCAAAGGAAAGCCTTACGATTGAGCCTTTAAAGATTGAAGGCGCGTCAACAGTGAAGAGTCTGGTGCGCATTGCGTCCCAATGCTTAAAAAAAAACCTGCGTTCTAGCTCATCTCAATTGCTTATGGTCTTTTTTAAGAAAGAGTGATAGCGTTCCACGGTTTTCACCCGCCAATAATGCAATACGCGCTTTGTGATATGTCGGACTACATTCTTATTTCCCAGCAAAATTCGTCGCGCGAGTGAAAAGTTTAAACCGATGAAAATAACATTTCATAATTTATACGACGCCAGAACCTTTTTTTGCGAATATTTTTAATGACTTTTGCGACAGATTATGCTGTGAAAAAAGTAAAGACTGCTCGTACTCGAGACTTTGGTTGTGTAATTGTAGTTAATATGTACGGTGAAGATAACAATAAACAATTCCTTGAAGTTGAATTATCGTGCCTCAGGGCTCACTAACTTGAAATTGGTAGCATTGTAACATCTTTAACCTTCCCGTCGAGGGCCGAGTTTTCTTACATCCCTTTACAACTTAGCGTAAACAGGGTGATCTCTCAGTCAAACGGTGGAAAAAGTGTTTATTTACCTGATTACAGACAAAGAGAATATTTACAATGTATCGATAGTACTGTTCATCCTAACCTCATCCTCGGGCCTACACACTCTCTCTCCTCCCCTCCCCCCACTGAAACCAGGTAAGGTTCACTCAGCATGAACCCAATGAAAGTACAAAAGAAAATTCTCGCTGTGACTGCAATTCGCTCTTGATATTCGTATAAATCCTCGCTGCAACACTTAATAAATTAACTGACCATACCCAGGCGACTTGTTTACCACGTCATCAAATTGCAAAAACAAACCACCGTCAATGAATATGAGTCAAATAACCCGGCCATTATAGGAAAACTTACAGGGATCAAGTTCTTCTCTTAGAAACATGTTCTCCCTCAAACATCTAAAGTAATGTACGTTGAACTCTTTCTAAAACATATTGTTTAGGGTTCCCATTTGCCATACTGTAAATTATTGTATGTTACATTGTTCCGAAGAGAAATTTTAAGGCGATAATTATTCCTCGACAGTTACATTAAGCTGGGGGTTAATTACTGATATACGAAATGCAACCGCACAATCATAAGATTCAAAAACCGAGTCCACTAGTTATTTGAAATCTGGGCAAAACTGCGGTAGACTGTTCCAATGACTGTTCAATTCACAGAACTACTGTTTTGATACAAAACTTTGGCTGCATGATTGATTGCATGATTGATAAAGCAGTCAGGATATCAACAGCTCCTCGCTGCCATGAAATTCCACCGTCAGTGAATTTGTTCTGAATGTTTAGAAGCGTAAATGTGGTTTGTTCTTTGTCATAAACCTGCCGAGAAAAAATGTAATTTAAGTTAACGATGGAAATCTAAGTAAATGTCAACCAGAGTTGTTCGAGCACTGAATTCATAGAAAAAAGCCTCGTGGTTTGATAAAAAAAAATCCGTTTTGGGGGTAGCTCTCGGTATCTATCAGTTCCTCTATCAATAAAATGTAAAAATAATAAGTATGAATCGACGTAGGAACGCATCGAGTATAAGCAAAATCTGCTGCAATTAACCCTTTAAACCTTAACAACAGTATGCTTATTCTCCATACTGTTCTCTATACATTTGTAGGGTGCTGACAAGGAGAATTTGTTTAACAATCAAGAGCTTCTTCGGTTGGTGATCATTTCCTTTATTCTCGTGACCTTGATGTGTGATTCAGGGGTGATATGGTAAGGAGAAATTAGATGCTGGTCAAATTTAGGGCTCAAACGGTTAAAAGCAATCAGTGTACTTACTTATCAAGAATTTCCCAGAATCTAATGATGGAAGCTTTGTCTAGATGTCTTTTATTTCGGCTGATCTGAAAGCAAATTAAAAACTATTTTTAATCTTTTTCTTCTATTTTGGAATTGAAAGAGAAAAAAAAAACCAATACTTACAGTGAGGATATGTACGTCCCACTTCTGCACGTTGGGATCTGTTTTCATCTCGTCGTACTTGAGGTAGAAACCTTTAGCTGTAAGACAAGAAGCATCCCTCTTCAATAAAGTGAATAGTTCGAAATTGGAAGGAACAGTCGATCGTGGCTCGCATTTACTTTACATACTAATTCACTTTATATTTTTGCGCTTTCGATGCGCTGTTTTTCTTAAAATCAAATTTCTTCAGTCGCTGGTATCAATTACGGTATATCATTTGTAAATATTAGGTGTAACAAAGAACTGATTTAAGTCCTAATGCCACTTTTTTAGAAAAACGTTCCACTGATGGCGTAGGTTACCGAGTTGTACCGCATTTGATTTTTTTCCTTCTTAAAATCCTCGAATGAACGATGCATTTTAATGATTAGGTGTGGCCTTTAATTCGAAGACGGCAAACAAAAACTGAGATTATGGCGCCAAAAAAATCCGCCAGGTACGAAAGCTTAGATGAAAGTTCAGGAATGTATAAGTATAGATGTGATGTAAAGAAACCCGAAAGCTCAATTACAATAAGGACTGAGAATAAACTGGACAGGCTTCTAGTTGCAATCCAACATTTCCACATACTTTTGATGAAGATATCAACAGGGGAGCTGTATGGCCAACCTTTGAACTGCCAGGCTGGACCTTGGACAAACACCGCTACAACACGATTCCTGGCAGATGAAAAACCAGATTTTACAGCAAAGGTCAAAGAGGCATTTGGAAAATTTTAGGTAACGAGTTCAAAAAAAGAAAACGCGAGTGATCATGTCGTGCTTAATTATGGTCTTTTATTTGATTGGTTGCGGGGAATAGCGTGAGTTTTCTAGGCTAATCAGAAGGCGTGACAAGTAAAATCAAAACAGTCCCAAATTTCCGTACGGCATGAAAATTTTGAAAGTTAATGGTTTGCTGCGTAAACCTATCGTGAAAATTAGTACCTTACTGATATTTCACCTCAAAACAAAACAAATCGTAACCTTCAAATATAAGAAATCGCCGATCCGAGAAATAAACTTCCCCTAAATTTTCAAACCTCAAGGGGTACGTTTAACACTCCATCTAAAATTTTTTGAAGGGGGGGGGGGGGGGAGATGGGAGGAGGGTTGACTCACCAGTCGTTGGGTTGAAGACGAGCTGGGTTGTCTATCACTCTGTAAGGTACAGTCACTGTGGTTGATGCTCCTCCTGTACCAGCCTGGGCCTGCTGAATGTCTTTCCTTCGTTGAATGAGTACTTCGTTTTCACGCCTTGCGCCCTGAGCTTTTTTCTCATCAGAACTGGTGAACCTTTAAACGGTACAGAACAAATGCTTTAAAGGCCAAGACACACTAACGACATTCCGCTGTGAGAGATCTTCACGAAAAGCTGCCTCGTGTGTGTTACTTCCTAAATGAAGCGCTTTTCGACAGAGTGTTGTAAATTCGAAACCAAAGTTATCACTACGACTAATCAGAAAGGAAAATACCTTTTAGGAGCCGATAAAACCTCAAAAAAACAACGAAACAACCAAAGGAGGATGCGGGCGACTAAGTCATGACTGGTTTTTGTTTTGGCGCGAGTTTTCTGGACCAATTGGAGACAAAGTAAAGCAAAACCAATCCAACCTCGGATTCCTTTGACACTTAATTGAAAATTGCTTCAAGACCCATATGGAATAGTTTTCCAAATATCAGTTATGAACAGCTCTTCGATAGGTTTGGAACCATGTTTGGCAAAACGAAATCATTGCATCATTGCACTAAAGGATTCTTACTTGAAGTCCTGCAGCAAATCCTGAGCATTGTAGAGTGTAATGAGTGATGTAGTACCAGCAGGAATAATAATGATAGGCGTGCGTGATTCTGGAATTGAAAAAGATGCAGATCAAATATTAAACCCATCACACGACAAAGAAAACCAAACCGTCCAACAAGACTGAATATCAAAGAGAGGCAAGTTAGAGATTATTCTAACATATCCGAGAATTAGCTACGATATGTATAATGAAATTACTGCTGATACAGGCATCCAGCTGTTTAGAAGCTGTTTTTTCTCTCATCTGTCTAATCTAATGGACTAATTTTTTTGGGGGGGGGGGGGGGGGGGGGAAGGAGAGGATTACCCAAGTTAGAAATGTCCTACTAACCCTATCAACAACATGTGAACCCTGAAGTTTTAAGCCTTACTTGCAAATTCATCTCATGCTGCATCAATAGTTATCATGACGACCCCCTCAAAGGAAAAACAAACAATGAAAATATATATACATTTTAAAGCTCTTACCTCGTTTTGGAGGATGATTTGGCTTTTGAGGGACTGAAAATACAAATTGTCATAAATTGTTGTAAATCATGAGATTTAATAATTGTTTAATATTGTTGCATGATAATTTTCAATCACTAAGATCAAGACTAAAAGAAAATTATTCCTACCTTTGTTTCAATAAACTAAAGACATTCTATGCTTTTGATACAAATGTATTTCTAACTTTGCCTGAGTGTCTGCAGCGAGCTTAACCATTTCACTTTCAATTTTACTTTCCAAGGTCTCATTAGTAATTCTCCTTACTGTCTGACACACAGTTCTTGAGATGCTAGGTTGGAGAATTTAGTATTGGATCAACTTACAATCCCCTTGCTAATACTTAATTCTCATCACTTGTCTGCTTGATATTGTATATATATTGTAAGGAGAAATTCTATCTTGGTCACTCATGGGAGTTAAAGGGTTAACCATTTCACTCTCAAGGTCTCAACAGTAATGCTCCTTACTGTCTGTCACTCAATTCTCATGACGTTAGTTCAGAGAATTTGGTTTTGGATCAACTAATAATCCTCTAATTGACATTGTCTTTAATCTCATAACTTCTCTGTTTGCTATTGTATTAATATTGTAAAGAAGAAATCTATCCTCAAGCTCTGGCACAAGAGGAAATTAAGCAGCTGGTTGGGCAAAGTTTGAGTTCAATCCAGACTTTCCAATTGTTTTTCAACTAAACTCCACTAACTGAGTGCTTACTATTTTACACTAAAGCTGTAATGGACAGTCAAAGGTTTCCAGTACTCACTAGGCCTGGGGGTCTTGCTGGGCTGTGTATGAGGAGAGGGACTGGGAAAGACTTTTTTGGGTTTCTGAACTCCTTCCTGCAAGTGATAAAAAAAATGGTTAAAAAACATAACTTTGGATGTGGTCCAATGGTTAGCACACAGGACTCCAGGATCCAATTGTCCAAAGGGCCAAGAGATTTACCCAGCGGATAGCATTACACACCCCTCAAACAACCAGAACCAGCTTAAGAGCTCTGTGTAAGATCTGGCCTGCTCATAGAGTTGTGTTCATGGGTGAGCCTCTACTCACACAGCGACTCCTTTCACCCAGGAGTATGGATGGCTACAGGTGAACTATCAAATTAAGCAGGGTAATTTAGCATTACTAACTGAGTTGATAACATAAATTGGCCACTGTACAGAGTTTGAAAGGTGTCATTGTCAGAGCAAATAGCTCCTAATCATTTCATGTTTCAGAAGGTGTAATAAGTCAAGGATTCCACATTCAGCCTCTCCAGGATTCAAACTAGTACACCGTACCTTCACAGATTCTAAACTAAGGCCATGATATGTTCCCATAGTATCAATTTTGAAGCCCTCAGTTTCTGTTGAATTAATAAATCAAAGCTCTTCAACATCTACACGTACAAAAGAGATTTTAATTCAAAAATTAAAGAAGCAAGTTTGTTAGCTTTAAAAACTAAAATGACTATCCATCAATTCAACCATAAATCAATGGTATGCTGTAAATGCTAAGCTCTGCATCATACCTTCTTTTCCCCTAAATCGTTCCTGATCATATCTGTTGTATGGTACTGGAGTTACAGGCTTCTTTCTCGTTTCCTGTTGCAAGAACAAATGAATTATCATTTTTCTTAAGCAACTCATTAATTCCCACAACCTAATTGTTAATCCTCTCCCCTAACTACATGACATTTCCTTATGAATTCAATATGAGAATTTGGTGTTAAATCAAGATAACAACTCCTACCTGTTAAGTTTGAGCTTTCTCATTACCTGTTTGCTGGATAATGTATGGGTATTACAGGGAGAAGTTACATGTTAATCACTTCTCGGAGTTAAAGGGCTTAGCACTAAGGGATATCCCACAAGACATTAATAACAACTTCAGCTCATTAGTACAAAAAGCAAAAATCACAACTTTAAGCAAGAACTGAAATAAAATCTTACAGTGTTTGTAAAGGGATCTTGATTTTGAAGCTGTTTGACTTTCCCTTCCTCTTGGGCTTTTACAGATTGGAGTATGGCCAACACATTTTTCAGAAATTGCTGAAAACAATTATACATACAATTAAAATGATAAATTACTACAGTACGACTGAACAAAATGGCTCAACTGTTCAGAAAGTCTAAATAGATATTACCTATGGACTCCTAGTATTGTTTAAAGAGAGCATAACACTTCTTGTATCACATACACACCTTGCCAGAACTCTGCAGAACAGATGTGCGGGTGCGAAGAGGTCGCTCACGACTGACTATGTCTTTTGTAACATCAACTTCAGCATCAACAAAAACCCTGTGTTCCTACAAAAATAAAAAATTTCACAAATTAGAGAAAAATGATATAATCAGGCTGAACAATTGCTGAACAATTGCTGAACAATTGTGCATCTCTCCATCACTACAAAAATACACATTTTATCAGTTTTTCATACCAAAACACCAGATTCCAAGTCATCATCCACTTTGATGGTAGTCCTTTTCTTTGCCAAACGCTTAGCCTTGATGGCTGCAATCTTCTCAACTGACATAGCATCACTCAAAGATCTACAGATAAACATAACGGGAAAAAACTGAATCAAATAAAGAAATCATTTATTTATGATACTTGGTACCAACCTGAGGTTGATGAAAGGAAAATCAACCCCTGCAATGGCTTTCAGAGAGTATACCTTTGAAGTGTGCATATTTCCTCCCGGACAGTAGAACATTCCTCAAACTACAAGTGAGTTAAACACAACACTTTACCTGATTTGTTCAGTGGTAACAGTTCCCTCCTTGTGCCCTTCAAGTCGAGCTTCCAACCTTTTCTGAGGTAAAAGGAAAATCATGGTATTGTAAACAGCTGAAGAAGCGACTACAAATTTTCATTTACATTTAAATTCCACTATTGCACTTCAGAGTGAATGCCATTCATGGCTATTAGGTTTCTTCCCTATGAAAAAAGATTTAAACACAGACTTTTTGTTGATCCAGAAACATGGAGGAGTAACAATAACAACCCTTTATAACAGCCATCATTTCTCAGCATTTTTCATGTCAGAGACAAGGACAATGAAAATGCAAGGAAAAGACACTGATCTACTAGCTAGCAGTTGGTCTGCTGTTCAGTATAAAGTATATAAATAATATAAACAGTGAATATATTTTGATACTGCACTAATTATTGTTCCCTTTATTGTAGTTTTACTATTTAAATGTTGCTTTTTCTGTCTCTTTTATTGTTCTTCAGCTTAAAGCTAAAACATTATTCAAAAATAGAACTCAGTACAACTAGATGATGAAACAGCAAACAGATGCAATATTAAATAAGGCAGAATATTTTAAAGCTAATATACCTTATCCAGACGTAACTGCTCTGTCTGGAAGAAAAAAATACACAATTAAACAGAAAGTTTGTAGAATGATAGATAGTGCCAACACCACAAAGACAAAACATGCAACTTGCATGGTTACATACAAGTAAATTGTGCCACATTTAAAAGTTCTCCATTATATTTTCTAAGTAATTCACAAATACTACTTTAAAGGGGGATTAACATACTTCTACATTGTTTGTGTTTTTTTTACAAGGCATAACTTACAAAATATAAACCACATTTTTCTTGTTAACTTATACATACCTCAACCCGAGGTTTCTTGATCTCTCCCCCTACAGAGTCATCTCCTGGCCTTTTTGCTAATAAATAAAAACACATTTTGAAAAGCAATGATGAAAAAAAAAATTGTAACTTTCCAAAGACTGAATTCAATTTGTTCTCTTACTCCTTTACACATTTCCAGTGGTACTGACAATGAGAATTTGCTGAAAAATCACCAGCTTTTTCAGTTGGAGATCATTTCCTTAACCGTCATGACCTTACTTTTAATTCAAAAGTGATTACTTAAAGCAAGACTAAATGCAAGTCGCACTTAAGGATCAAAGATTTAACAAATTTATTCCTAGGAGAAACCAAAAAAATTCCTTCCTACATTATGAATGCATTATGAAGCAGAAAAGAAATGAAAGGGAAGAAAAATATATCAACAAGGGAATATGGATTGATTTAACTTCAAATTCTCAAATCTAAATTATGTGAAATGTATAGCAAACAGTGCAGAGAATTCATGTTTTGATCTTATGAGTGAAAGAGTTAAAAGTGAAATGGGAATAAAGAATACAATAAAACCTTGTGCCTGAGCAATGGCAGAGCGCTGGTTAGGCATTTCCAAAGGGACACTCTTGTCAATGCTGCTTGCAGTATCTAATGAAGATTGAGAAAAACAACAACCACGAATTAGTACAATTACAAAAATAACAACTTCCTTCCCCAGGTAAAACCAAGTCACTTTCTATTGGAAATAAGTTCACAGTGGGTGATTGAGGACTAACACTCAAATCTGATATATTACATGCACGTGATTCCTATACAGTAGTTATGCACACCAACCTGTCTCTCCATTGAGATAGCTGAGTAATCCCTGAAATTCAAAGATGAGTTGTCTGTACATTAGATCACTTACAACAAACACTAGCTACAGCTTTATATACATATTAGTTGATTTAACACAGCCACTTTGGAATCAATGGTGATCCTTATAATTTAACTGGCATATTTGGTTAGTTTGTGAAGTTGTTTAAGTCTTTTTGTAAGAAGATGTGAGTAAATAGAACGTTTCTAAGCAGTTTCCCCTGCTGCATAAAAATCTATACCACATGTTTAGTTCTAATGCACAAAAAATGAAGGACCATTCATAAAGGTTAAAGGCTGTTCAACTTTTCTCTGCATTCTCACAATTACCACATGCATAAAATATATGTTAATGCTTTAGAGAAAAAAACATGAAAGTGGAAACATGATAACGTTTACTCAAAGGATGCATTTCAGCATAAAAATGTGCTTCTCCATAGTCTTTGTTGAGCTCCAGCACTTGTTATAGCAGTTTTTCAAATAGATGCTTTGGTCTGTATCCAACTTGAAAAGCAGTCAAACACTTTTGCTACATTCCACCAATACTGCCTTGTAAAGTTAACTATTGTACGTTTGAAAGAGCCACATGACGAAGGAGGATAATGGAACCTAGCACGTGGAGATGTGCATTGTAGAGCTAGGCACAATCACAATCAGCTGTATGGCTGTGAGAAAGAAGACTAGGTGGCTGAGTTACAATTAATGTATGAGGCAGGTGCATATCAAAATTTGCAGCTTCTGCAAATCACATTATGATGTATCATTCCTTTCCTTTTAAATTGGAAAATTACTATACAACTAAAAAGAAATGAGAAAATAAACAAACCTTTCTGTCAGGCAATCTCACCACTGGTATCTTTGTACCCTACCAATATGGAAGGAAAAAAGAAATTATAGGAAAATAAAAAGTATCAGTGGAAGTAGCTGGTAGGGAAACAATCCCATGGCAGGATGAATCAGTGATTCATTTCTAACACTAAACATTTGCATTGAGAGCAAAGATGACACAAATTAAATAAAGACAACGAATTTGGATGAGTTGCTTCATTAAGTTAAACTAAAACATATTTATCATCTACTATCATCAAATAGAAGCAACTGGCACCGATCCAACCACCCAGATTCAACTGTCGAACAGAAGTTTCATGAGCAAATTTCTAAATAAGCAAGCTGTTCGTTGCTTACCGCTGCACGCTGGACGTAAATTGGATGAGATAAATGCACATTCTTCAACAGAAACAATAGCGACTCCAAAGTGTAGTATTCCTTCGGCTGGGATCTAAATAATAAAGTCAAAAAAATCTTAAATACATGCAACAACAAGTGCCAAATTAACAAATTTAAGAAAAAGAAAGTTCACGGAACACACGAGAGCTTCTACAATAAACAGGCACTGAATTACTTACTTGAAAATAACATAGTTCGTCTTTGCTGTCCTTGGAAATGAGAATTCGTCAAATATGATCTCACCCGACCTTTCTATGATCTCTTTCTTGTTTATGTTATACTGTCGAAGAAGCGACAAAGGGTCTGCCATGTTCGTCACGTTCGAACAGACTGGGAAGGATGGGGAGGATGCTAAGCAAGGAGTAGCGGTTACAAAGTCATTTTTGAAACAAACGCGCGCGACATTGCGCGCGACAAGCGCGTAGTAATAGCTGCCCGCGAGCCCTACAATGAGGAATTTGCAAGATTTGGGCAAGTATAACCATTATAACTTTCTATTAGCAAATTCTTTCAGAATTGGGTGGATAGCAAGAGCCACGAAAGTCGGTAAACCATCGCAAAATTAAGGAACTATTTTGAAAATCCACATGTTCACAATGATTAGCTCATCAGCTGTGTGTTCGGTATTCTTTAATTTTGTTTCCTTGATCGCCCTGTCAAAGTCTCTCAGATCGAAGGACGTTTGGATCAAGGACAATGTATTTACCGAAAATGAAATTCGGGACATGAAATCTTTGCTAAGCCAAGATGAAACGGTGTGGAAATTTCAGCCTAGAGAAGATAACAACTTAGCGATTGCTGGACGAACGAAGAATTTGTGCTCCAAAGCTTGCTACAGTTGCTACAGTTGGTCCTCTAATCTGACATCTGTCACTTTTAAGAGCTCCTCTTCTTGGAGAAAAGTTTCAGACACGTTATCTTCGCATATTGGAATAAAAGGAAATTGTAGAATTTTGTCTTTAGAAGGAAAAATCAACATCAGAGCTGGGCATACTTGTACGGAACGAGCAAGTGTAAGTGACAAAACTGTGAATAGCTATATCGCTGTAATTTTTCTTGTGCAGAATTCGAGGCGCAACGCTTACGGTGAGCTGATCGTGTACAACGAGGGTGAAATAATCAAAGCTGTTTATCCGAAAAGAGGCAGGCTGGTGATCTTTCCTGCCTCTCTGGAGCATGTAATCAAATCTCCAGCGATAGACATGTCGGAGAGATTATATTGTATGAAAATTCACTTTTTACTTTCAGATGACCAGAGACATTCGGCGGTTGTACAGGAAACATTACCTGGCAACACTGTAAGGAATGATTTTAATAATCTAATGGTTTTCCCCAACTTTAAACTTTTGACCAAAACTGACACAACCCCAGATGGAACCTTAGATATTCAGCAATTTGTCACTAAGAATTTCACCACAAACAGTGGCCTTTCCATTGTTGTTTTGGATGGTATTCTTCCTCTCAAAGAGCTTGACGCTTTGAGGAAAACGGTTGAAACTAACGGTTACAGCGATAATGCAGCTGGCATGGACAGCACAGATCAGGTACAGTGGATCATGGCATTTGAAATTGATGACTTTGTTCAAACATCACTATGGAATGTGGTCAGTCAGATTGTGACCTTTGTCTCTGGGAAGAAAGGTTATTTTCCTTATGACATTGGATGTAATAATATTCAAGCGACAGACACAACTACAATTCATATAGATAGTGAATTTAATGAAAGTGAATTCACACTCCTGATTTATCTCAATGAAGACTGGACTGCAAATCATCATGGCGAAACTGTCTTCTTTGATGATATGGAGGGGAACGAGGTAATATTTGCAGTAAGGCCAAGATATGGACGTGTTGCTATTTTCCATGGATCAATTCCACATAGTGCGCGACCACCCCCACTTCTTATGGAAGGTATGGTAACAAATTGAACATAATTACACAGGTTATGAACTCAACTATTGCTCTTTGGGAGTGTATTGAAATAAGTTTACTGATTGCACTCTGTAGGAAATGCAGTGGCTTAGTAGCTATTGCACTGGACTCTAGTTGAGAGTTCAAGACTTGGCAAGGTCAATATGTTGTACTATTGGGCAAAATGCTTAATTTTCAAAGAACTTCTCTATACACATGAGTTAAATGAATTGTCAGGGAAGCCCAACAAGTTATTAGGTGGTTGCTCTATGTTAAGGAGTTCTCTAGGTGCAGTTTTTGTGCTCTTAGGCAAAACGCCTCCTCACACCCAGGAGTATGAATTGTCAGGGAAGTCCAACAAGTTAGTAGCTGGTTGCTTCATGCTTAGGAAACCAAAATGAACTCTGTGTCTCTTGGCTCAAGAACCTTACCTGAACACACTTAGGCAGCATAGTTATTACTCAACTTTTTTCATATCAAGAGTTGCTAAGTGCCAAAATTTAGAAGATGTCATTGATTATGGACATTATTGTCTTAGTATTACTATTACCACCAGCGTCACTTACTTGGTGTGTTAGCCACAAGGTCATGAGTTTTTCCTTTACTAGAGAAGGCACAATAAATTGAAAAAGGAAGTACTATCTTGATTTATTGTACTTTCTTTGAACTACTAAGGACAACTGGTGAACTTCATGTATGTAAAGAATTTTTGACCTGGAAAGGGACAGAATTAATGTTTCCTTTTCTCATGCAAGGGAAGGGGTTGGGGAAGGTGCAGAAGTTTATGTTCAGAAATGTTTCTTTTTTGTAATCGCCTTAACCTGTTCCATTTTCTCAGTGAGTGGAGACAATTGAAGGAGTGGGTTAGATATTTGCAGATGGCTGCTCTTATGAACCTGGTGGTCAGCCTTTACTTTTCAGTGAAACCTGTTAAATTCATTTTTTTTTAAAGTTGATGTAGTCATGGCTGACATTTCTTGAATTTATTTTTTATTTTTTGTAATTTGGTAGGTGCAAGGTTCAGTTTTGCAGTCAAATTAGCAGCATCTGAAGAGACTGCAAGAAAAAAGGCTGATTTGTTGGATATAGATGTGCTCTATGAAGCTTTAGAAGTTTTGCAAGGAGAAGAAGCAGACAAATTGGAAGCAATAATCCATGATATTGAGGATGGGAAAATGGATAGACAAACAAAAGAAACTATAATTAGAGAGTATGAAACACATTAAGAATTGCATAAAAATCAGCTGATTAAATAGTGTCCGAGAGTTAATGACTTAAAATTGTTCAGAAAAATATAGGTGTAACATATTTTTATGTAAATGATATTTCCTAATGTCCGGCAATTAAGTGTGTTACTTGAAACTGCAGCTGTTGACGAGGCTTGAATTTACATTTGAAACACTGAGTAATTTTAAATGTCACTCTCCCCAAAACAAAAAACAAGGTTGTTTAGTGTTAACAACTGAGTTGAAAACGTAAATTGGCCACTGTTAAGAGTTAAAAGGCTGACGTTTCGAGCGTTAGCCTTTCGTCAGAGGGATTGGTTGAGTTGTGGGTTGTGTGTGGGTTTCTATGCAGAAAATGGAGCTACGCTATTGGTGGGAATATGGTGACGAGAAAACAAGAATAAATTAGTTGAATGAAAAGCGCTTGTTCATACCGTGGGGATTAAGAGTGCCGATTTGGAAGATAAATTTTATATTTTTTTTAACATTTTTTCGATCAACGCACGGTTAAGGAACCTAGCTCTGAAACACTTCTCCGTGTAGCCGAACTAGTAACTACACTCAATTGCTTTTCATTCGGTGCTAACTGCTACAAACAAACTAATGGCGTCGCCATAGATACTAAAATGGGACCCAGCTACGCCAATTTTTTCGTAGGTTTTATCGAACATCAATTTTTTAGGCAATAACACGGCCAAAACCTGAACTCTATGGCCGTTACATCGACGACTTCATCGGCGCTACCTCCTCTAACGGAGAGGAGCTCACTCAATCTATAACCGCCGTCAATTCCTTGCACCTGGCTCTTAAATACACCTGGGAATTTCCAACACTTCTTTGGCTCTATTAGAATTCAAAATTTCAATTGAAGGCAACGGTTTATGCACTAGTGTTTACTACAAACCTACAGATTCACAAAGTTACTTATTGTATTCATCTTCGCATCCATCACAGGTCAAGAATTCCATACTTTTTCACAATTTCTCAGACTTCGTCGTTTATGTAGTGACGACTCTGATTTTTCCAAAAAATCAGAGTCAATGTTTCAGTTTTTCGATAAACGTGGCTATCCTGCCTCTGTCGTTCAAGCGGGCCACCACCGTGCCCAACAAATTGATCGACAGTCAGCACCACAAACGGCTGAGAAGGAAAACACTGACCGCATTCCATTCACTCTCACATTTCACCCTTACAACCTACCCAGTTAAATCTATTATTCTTAAAAACTTTAAATTACTCCAAAACGATTCAGAGACTAGCACCATCTTTTCGCAACCCACACTAGTTTCATTCAAACGTGACAAAAACATAGGCAAGTTTTTGGTCAATAGTTCATTTCAAACCAATGACGAATCTGATACTTTCAAATGCGCTCGCTCACGATGCAAAACTTGTCCTTTCATTCATAACGTAGAAAAAATATCGGGACCCAAGGGATCTATTAAGATCACTGATCACTTTACGTGTACCTCCGCTAATGTCATTTATTGCATAACTTGCACTTACTGCAATAAGTTATACATTGGTGAAACAGGAAGACGACTAGGTGACCAATTCCGAGAACACCTTCGCGACGTTGGAAGAGATGACAAGGACGCATCCAAACCAGTCGCTAGACTCTCCCTAATCATTCTAATCAACAAATGGCAGTTTGCGGCCTTTCTCTACATCTAGGCAGTTTGGAGCCGCAAAACGCTAGAACAAAAATTTATCTTCTTAATCGACACTCTCCCCACGGTATCAACGAGCGCGTTTCGTTCCTCTAATTTATTCTGTTTTCTCGTCATCATATTCCCACCAATAGCGAAGCCCAATTTTCTGCATACAAACCCACACACAACTCACAACTCCACTAATCGCTCTGACGAAGGGCTAAAGCTCGAAACGTCAGCCTTTTAACTCTTTACGGTGGCCAATTTACGTTTTCAACTCAGTTGTTAACACTAAATTACCTGTTATACTCTCCCACCGATGCAGCATCATAGTTTCTTTAGAAACTTACCCCCTTTAGAAAACAGGGTCGTTTCCATTCCAAGTTATCTCATTTATCTGGAAGGCACTTCACTTAATTGTTTGTTGGTTTTCGCCTTAAAGCTCTTTATTTTAAAGAAGCCCGCCTGTGAATTGAAACAGTATTATTTAAGATCTGCGATGGACTCGTAGAAAAGTTTGCATTTCTTCTATGGACTTAGAAGACCATCTTCATTTCATTTTCTTTTTCCCCTGGTTCAGAGACGATTCGGCAAAAAAGGTTGAATAGCCACATGCAGTAAAAAAAGGGTTTCTTGCAGCAAATAAAGGGCAATCAACTCTTTATGTCGTTGCTAGGAATAGGAAAAATTCAGTAGGCTGTACCTTGGTTTTCATTGAGTTTGACTCGCAACGCATGCTTGCGTGACAGATCTAGGCCCCACCTAGGAAAAGCTTAGCGGTCCGCCTCTTTGTGAATAGGTTATTTGATAGATCACCACTTAAGAAAAAAATGAAATATTTGTTTCACTTCCTGTTTTCACGGGCCTCAAAAAAATGCCATTGGGAGAGGAATAGTCACTCAAGTTATGTTTATTTTCATTATCATGCGAAAGAACATTGACTTCTTAAAACTACGAGCGAAAACAACACCGACATCGCACTAAGCGTTTAATGGGTTTTTAAGTGCACATGAGGTAAAGAAAATAAGTAACTGATTCATGGAAAATTTAGTTAAACTTCACGTGGAAAACGGATATTGCACGAATCACTTCCTGAGATAGCGGTTTTTCGCGTGAAATCAACGTTGGGTGGAAACTTTTCCTATAGAAATTGATAAAATGATCATGATGGAATCGTCCAATGTATTTGCGGATCGTTCAGTATACCTACATGTGTTTTCACCAAATTAATTAATGGAAGTAGATTGCCTTCAGATGTAAAAATTAAAAGCGTGAGCCCGATGTTGAGAAATGCTTCTACGATGGGAAGCATTTCGGCTGGAATTCGTTGGCGAACTACAAGTGGAGTAATACATCAATGCACGATTTAACATCTCGATTTCTTATCAACGTTTGCAGAAACGTGACCTTTTTGTAATGGAAAAAAATTGGCATGCAATCAGTGCCTATTACAACTGGCAATCAAAAACAAATAAAACCCTTAATGGCCATTTAAGAGCATTTAAAAACATTTGTTGTCCATAAACTGGACGCAGCAGTGCATGGAGAATGAACATGGACAATTCGACACGGGGGACAACAGATTACAAAATTGCTACGCTTGTACTTTACACTACGATTCCGCCCATACCATGGAACACGTCAGACTATGTTAATGACTATGCTGCTCCTATGCCGCCTCAAGATCCGATCAGCTCCCAATTCGTCCAAGTTCTGAGAGGGATTTTCTTCGTATTGTGTTTGATAGAGAACAGCCTTGCCCTCTATATTCTGTGCAAGAACGTTCGAAGTGGTCGCAACAAAACATTTTTTCTCTATATGTTGATCAGCATAGCTTGCGCTGATATTTTAAAAGCTGCATTTATTTACCAAATGACCTATGCCGCATTTTCTCCCCAAGCTGAAGACGTTTGGTCTGTTGGCAATGCTCTGTGTAAGATGTACCTTACCTTCTCTGAAATTACTTCCAGGGTTATTGCGCTTATCTTAGTCGCTCTAGCCTGGGACGCCACACGAAATTCCTCCTCCACAGGTCGAAAGGAACATACTAAAAAATTCAGCGCAATCATGATGTTTTTCCTGTGGGTGATGGCAACAAGTTTCTCTTCCATCTACTTTGTGTTCAGCGGGGCTTTTCACAATGCATGTGGAGTAAGTCCGGAGGGAATAATAATGACCATCCAACTTGATTTCGCTTTTGACGTCACTGTTGACTTGATTCTAACGATTCTATGTGTCGTCGTGTTCTTCCGAGTTAGACGAAGGAAGAAGGAAATGAATGCACAAGCACGATCCACAAAAATTGCTTACAAATCAAATAAAAAATCACAGAGGAGGGATGATGACGGCATCGAACTGGATCATTCGGGAGAGTGGTGCGACGAGAAGCCTGATGAAGGAGAAGTGACACTGATCTGCGAAGGCCAAAAACAGAGTTCTTCAGAACACCCCCCGGAAACCGGCAGAAGTGTTGATGTTGGAGATGGACAGAGTAACACCAGTCAATCCGCCTGCGAACAGGAATTCAAAGAAACGCGAACCGAAGCAAAAATCGTGGTTGCAGTGTCGCTTCCTCTCATCTCTCTTTCCCTTCTGTCTTTGCTGCTGCTGCCTTATTTGATGAATTACTTGTCACATTCCCAAAACGTGTACATTTCGTTTTGCGCGCAAATGGCTGATGCGATGTACGGGATCATTAAGCCGGCTATTTACGCCTGCATCGACAGGGAATTCAGGAAAAGGTACACACAACTGTCTCCATTGGCTTGCTGTTGTTTAAGGAAGATCTGTCGCGGTTCATCACAGCAAGGTGTGGCAGCTGAAAACAGCCGCGCTACGCAAGAAGCGAGTGTGTAACTATCAAACAGATGACGGAGGCAAAACTATTTAAAGAAGACTCCTCAGTGTTGTTCATAAGAATCGCCAAAGAAAAATTAACCATACTTAGTATTTCTGTGTATATGCAAGAATCTTAATGAAAATGCGATTGAAACAATTTCAGCAAAATGGTTCAGCTTGTGAGACTTATGCATTTGATAATCTTATTTATTTTACTGTGTAAATTGTTTTAACCACTTTAATTTGGATGATAAGTTTTTTCTGTAGGTTGAAATAACCGTGCAAGTTAGGTCTGGGTGCAGGCGATCACTGTTAAATATATATTTTTCTAATACCCTGATTCTTTGACTAGGAGCAAGCAGGATATATACAACAGCAATAGCGACCTAAACAATAACTTTGTTTATAGCATTAGCTCTAACATTAAGGGTTTAGTCTTTTGGAATTGTGGAAAAGTAATGAAACAAAAGCGAAAAAAAGTGAAAGTAATGAATTCCTAAATTTCAAAATGTTATTTCCTAATTGTAATCCATTTCTTAATTGATCGACGTATTTCCGGCTTATTTGCAAAGCTTCATAAATTATATAGAATGACCTAATTTCCCGCACGCGAAGTTATCATCGTTGTTCTATAGAAAAACAATTTTGTCA